GCGGGGTCTCGCTGCTCTTGGTCTGGCTGCTCCCCTTTGGCCTTCCTGGCATGGTTGTACCTTGTGGAACGAAGTTCCAGCCAGTGTAGCCCGCGGGATCATTGCAGCACTCAAGCCCGACCGCCACGTCAAGGTGGCAGCTTTAGGTCGGGCTTGTTCCATATTGCGAAATTTAAAGGCTGCCAGAGCAAACGACCGTCAGGGCCCGAAAAGTCTACGGTCGTGAAATCAGAATTAAGCAGAATTAAAGCAACACCAAAAGGCGGTTAACGGGTGCATCGGTAGATGACATCGCAACGGCCCATGCAGTCGTGAAGTCCAATATACTGGAGTATTGCCACACAACTGGGGGTCCACAGTTTAAGCACGTGGCTAAACAAGTCAGTAGTAGGTGGGGTTTAACTCTTAAGGGAACCTCGATCTGCAGGACCGGGAAACCGTATTAATCGGACAACTACTCACTGGTATTCGAGTACACTACCCAGTACAGTTCAGTGAGCTGAGAAAGTGCATGAACCATCACACTGAGGCGAGGTTCTGTCATTCTGTGACCTTGTGAACCATCCCTGAGTTTGCGGCCAAATTATGGAAGCCCGGTGAACAGTTCAACGGCCATCTACACAGACGAAGCTACCAATATATCCGCTTACTTAGTNATATATATATATATATATATATATATACGTATGTACACCAACATACATACAGAAAACGACTGCATCTGAAAGTATACGTATAGACAAACCTGCGCACGGGAGCTATACTTGCTGATTAATTAGGGGACAAATTTTTGTAGGATGTCTTGCGTTAGGCTTACCTTTTCTGAAAGCCATTGTTTCAGTGCGATAATGGTCAATGCACCAGGATTATCATTGTCGCGGTCACCTGGTTGTCGTGTCTGCTCTCCGTCTAAATTAGACGAGTGGTCTACATCTCCGTCGTTCACAGGTTTTCCGTTCGTATTGGCTGACGCCTCTTGGTTTTCTGTGAAGTAAAAGTGAAAGCAGATAAACAATGTATGAATGAAGTGTGCTGTGGAGAAACCAGAATTTCACGGCGCGGCAAGCGCTAGCACAGTCAAGACTCGCACATCGTCATACTGGGTCAGATGTGAAAGTCGGTGACAAAAATGAACACAAAACCCCATGTACAACGCATAGAAGTGTCGTAAGGAGGTAGAGAGCCTGAAATAGCCCCCAAACACAAGTCACTGGTTGTGACGCAGTCCGATGACAGCCTTGAAAGACTGAGGGCAGCAGATCCCTCGATACGAGGTTATCATCGATTGGTGGAGCAACAAACTGACATCATATAGGGCTCACCTAGTAACCATCAGCACCATACTTCTGCTTCTTTTCATTTTACAATACGCCCATCCGAAACTATGCTTAGGTCTATCACAGTTGCTTGTTGCGCCCGAACAGCGATTAGGTCAGGCTTGACGAGATGGTGTGATCCAGGTGCCGGAGATGTTTCGTTAGTGCCCTTGCAACCCAATTATGATGAGTACATCTGGGACCATGCGTGATCCAACAGACCCAGAAGAGAAACCAGTCACGGCGCGGCAAGCGCTAGCACAGTCAAGACTCGCACATCGTCATACTGGGTCAGATGTGAAAGTCGGTGACAAAAATGAACACAAAACCCCATGTACAACGCATAGAAGTGTCGTAAGGAGGTAGAGAGCCTGAAATAGCCCCCAAACACAAGTCACTGGTTGTGACGCAGTCCGATGACAGCCTTGAAAGACTGAGGGCAGCAGATCCCTCGATACGAGGTTATCATCGATTGGTGGAGCAACAAACTGACATCATATAGGGCTCACCTAGTAACCATCAGCACCATACTTCTGCTTCTTTTCATTTTACAATACGCCCATCCGAAACTATGCTTAGGTCTATCACAGTTGCTTGTTGCGCCCGAACAGCGATTAGGTCAGGCTTGACGAGATGGTGTGATCCAGGTGCCGGAGATGTTTCGTTAGTGCCCTTGCAACCCAATTATGATGAGTACATCTGGGACCATGCGTGATCCAACAGACCCAGAAAGTGGGGAAATGTGGGATGTACAGCCGAGCCTTTGTTGTGATAACATTTTTGGTAATGCCTTTGATGCACGAGTGCCACTGGGCGATTGGACCATTTCTACCAGCGCTATTAATCATTGATGAGTTGACTCCCGATGTATCTATTCAGGGTGGTGGCAGTTGTCAACTCAACTCAATTTACTGGTTAGTGTTTTCCTATTTCGTTGCCAGGTCATACACTGTTGTTATGTACTCACAACGTTCACTCAGCACAGCACTGGGCGAAAACGGCTCTGCGAAGCAGACGGTCTCCTGGCATGCATAGTGCACGTTTTAACCAGCGCAGCCTATGAAACGTGAGTAATTCACCTATCGCGGGAGAGTTCTTTCTTCCTGGGACCATCTGGCGTACCTCAACATTGCTAATCCGATGTTCCCACCAAACCTGACTAATGTTTTGGAGACACCGATGGTCAAACACTGAGATCTTTCTTATACCCTCCGCGCGCAGAGGCCACGTCGCTGATCCATAAAGCGGTATGGATCGCACTGCCGTATTGTGAACTCTGTCCTTGGCAGACAAACTGATGTCACGCTGGCGCCTTATGTACCGGAGGTGGCAAAAGCTATCCCGGTTTTCCCGACCCGAGAAGTAATTCCCAACCAGTCCACGAAAGTGATACAACTTCCCAGGTAAACAAATTTATCTACTATGTCGATTGGCCCGCCTGCATGCATGAGAGGTGGGTTTGATCCCACCCAGTCTTGTACATGGGGAAGAGATGGCTAAGTGGTTAGAGAGCGACCGGAAGGTCCGTGGTTCGAACCCGTCATGTACCTCTCGACTTCCCCTTTCTAGGCTTCGGCAACTTGGTAGCATCCCAGCCCTTGTGCTTCCTCTGGGTGGCATGGCAGCTTGGCACCGAAAGGAAATCACATCTGAACGATATGACACAATAAGAGTCCCAGCGGGGTTTGAGACGAACAGCTGGACGAAGGTAGAGTATAGATGTCCAATGTAGTAAAAGTGCCCCAAGCTGCAGCGGCGCTATAGGAAAGCCGGTATAACCTACTCGTTCGATCGTCGTTCGGCTGTGACATCGTTCCGGTGCCCAACTGCTATGCCACCCGAAGGTAGCACGAGTGCTGGAATATTGTCAGGTTAGCCAAGCCTAGACAGGTAGTTGAAATGCCGCGGCTGAGTTGGAACAACGGAACTTTCGGTTAGTAAGTTCGCACCTTAACAACGCAGCTATCTTGATCGGATATTCAGAAGTTCGTAGCGAGAAGCACGATGATGACAAAACGTTGCCGAGCAATAAATCTACCAATTGTTACCAAACTTTTCCGAAAACGAAAACTGTCGTAAGTTCAAACACTACGGTCGAATCTTGTGTTTCGGAAAACTGAATGAGTTGCTCAAGGGCTTGTTGGTTGGAAGCAACAAGACGTTAAAGAGGTAAGGTAAGAAGCAAAGGTAAGAAGCAAAATCGAGCAGTTACTCATTTTGACTGGTTATGCAAGCCTACATCACCTACGTCACCTTGAAGACCTTATGAGAGCAAATAAACACCACAGCAAACATGAGGTTATTCAACTACACAACTAGTATGCGCATCTTTCAAAGAAGGAATTAGTGCACCCAGGACTCTGCAAGATTGGAAGGCGCACAAGAATTGGGCTTGTAAGCAAACATACAGAATGATTAAATAATGACCCCATATTACCAAGACTCACCTTTGCAAACTTTTGGGAGACCACAAAGCTCTAGCAGGGCACCAGCCACCATACGTGAAGTAACATAATCCCGCTGATTCGCCTCGGAAGCAGCATTCTTCGCTGCCCGAGCCCGCGCTCTGGCGTCTTTTTCTTCTTTTTTCTCCTTCAAATAGTCTTCTCTGGAAACGACGAAAACAAAATCCAGAGTGATGATGCATCATCAAATGCCGACAATATAATGTTCCCTATGGAAAGCACGTCGTTTTTGGAATATTCCATACTTCTCTCGTAACAGGCGGAAAAGCTATATACAAAGGACTGCTTAACCTCCTGTGCACTCTTCTTCTACCAGGTGACAGAAATCATTATAAAGAACGCTAGTAATCGTATTTACTCGCCTCACGAAGCAGCTCCTCAAAGGATCAAACGCTACAGCATGAACAGAAATCTAATTCCAGGTGCGAAATCGGATTAAAAATCCAAACATGTCGAATGAACCGCCCGGTGTCACGAGACTTTAATGCTCCAGTATTTGGTTAGAAACCTCCGTGTACAAACTCACCTTTCACTCGACATCCGATTAATCAATGCAGCATTAGATAACATGTGGATGCCAACCAGAATAGGCCAAGAAAATATCCCGGGCATAGTGATGAAGTCATATGCTGACATTATGGTCAACTAACCGGTTCGACCGACTCTGGGATGGTGATCGTCACATTGAAGTTTGAATGGCTGTATGGGTCAATGGCCTTTTTGTTCCACACAACAGACAAGAAACATCAAACACGCCAATGGAGCCTGATTCTCATCCTCGGACTTCTCGATAACTATAAACAGAGGGGACATGTAGTCCGTCGAATCGGCCACCTGGTACGTGGCCTGTGTACCGCGCTTAAATGATCACCAAAAGAACGTCCACAAAGGTACCCTTAAGGAAGACAGGGTGGCACTTGTGGTGTCAGTTCATCTCTAGGGCTTGGGGACTCATACGATGAATGTGAAATAGTTGGTCGTTGGCTTGTTCGCTGAGCTGGGCAATTTGATTGCAAACGTTTCATCACCAATCGAGGTGACATCATCAGTGCGTTATTGGGGAGCGTAGTTGTGCGTAGCGCCGTACAACCATGACTTATTTGAAAGCCTTATCGTAAAGAAAAGAATGGTGGACGGGGAAGGGACTTAGTGATAGATTAACACAATCATTCCAAGGTGCCTACACCTCCAGACATTCACTCAGGCGATCTGGGTAGAAACTGACAACAAGAACGCCACTGACATCGGTTGACAGCCATATCTTGTACGGTCTTCAACCAGGCACAGTGAGGATCACGCGGTCCCCATCCTGGAAGGCGAGTAGCACCGACAGCACCCAAGCGTTTCGTGATCTCCTTCATACTCCTCTGCCAAGTCAAGGGTTGGCCACCCGTCTGTTTACGCCACTCTGAACTGGGCATGGAGAACAGCACTCACTTCGGCAAACGATGGTTCGGCATACGCAACACACGTTCCAAACAACGCAGCTTCTGGTGCTGGACACATTCTTCAATGGAAGAACCC